CCCTGAAATATCGCTGATTTTCATAGAAATCCCTGTTTTTCCCCTTAAATATCGCTCATTTTGATAGAAATCCCTGTTTTTCCCCTAAAATATCGCTTATTTTCACAGAAATCCCTGTTTTTCCCCTAAAATATCACTTATTTTCATAGAAATCCCTGTTTTTCCCCTAAAATGTGGCTTATTTTCAAAGAAATCCCTGTTTTTCCCCTAAAATATCGCTTATTTTCATAGAAATCCCTGTTTTTCCCCTAAAATATCGCTTATTTTCACTGAAATCCCTGTTTTTCCCCTAAAATATCGCTCATTTTGATAGAAATCCCTGTTTTTCCCCTTAAATATCGCTTATTTTCACAGAAATCCCTGTTTTTCCCATTAAATATCGCTTATTTTCACAGAAATCCCTGTTTTTCCCCTGAAATATCACTTATTTTCACAGAAATCCCTGTTTTTCCACTAAAATATCGCTTATTTTCACAGAAATCCCTGTTTTTCCCCTAAAATGTGGCTTATTTTCACAGAAATCCCTGTTTTTCCCCTAAAATATCGCTTATTTTCATAGAAATCCCTGTTTTTCCCCTAAAATATCGCTTATTTTCACAGAAATCCCTGTTTTTCCCATAAAATATCGCTTATTTTCACAGAAATCCCTGTTTTTCCCCTAAAATATCGCTTATTTTCCTAGAAATCCCTGTTTTTCCCCTGAAATATCGCTGATTTTCATAGAAATCCCTGTTTTTCCCCTTAAATATCGCTCATTTTGATAGAAATCCCTGTTTTTCCCCTAAAATATCGCTTCTTTTCACAGAAATCCCTGTTTTTCCCCTAAAATATCACTTATTTTCATAGAAATCCCTGTTTTTCCCCTAAAATGTGGCTTATTTTCAAAGAAATCCCTGTTTTTCCCCTAAAATATCGCTTATTTTCATAGAAATCCCTGTTTTTCCCCTAAAATATCGCTTATTTTCACTGAAATCCCTGTTTTTCCCCTAAAATATCGCTCATTTTGATAGAAATCCCTGTTTTTCCCCTTAAATATCGCTTATTTTCACAGAAATCCCTGTTTTTCCCATAAAATATCGCTTATTTTCCATGAAATCCCTGTTTTTCCCCTAAAATATCGCTTATTTTCATAGAAATCCCTGTTTTTCCCCTAAAATATCGCTTATTTTCACAGAAATCCCTGTTTTTCCCATAAAATGTCGCTTATTTTCACAGAAATCCCAATTTTTCCCCTGAAATATCACTTATTTTCACAGAAATCCCTGTTTTTCCACTAAAATATCGCTTATTTTCATAGAAATCCCTGTTTTTTCCCTTAACAATCGCTTATTTTCCATGAAATCCCTGTTTTTCCCCTAAAATGTCGCTTATTTTCACAGAAATCCCTGTTTTTCCCCTAAAATATCGCTTATTTTCACTGAAATCCCTGTTTTTCCCCTAAAATATCGCTTATTTTCACAGAAATCCCTGTTTTTCCCATTAAATATCGCTTATTTTCACAGAAATCCCTGTTTTTCCCCTTCAATATCGCTTATTTTCACAGAAATCCCTGTTTTTCCACTAAAATATCGCTTATTTTCACAGAAATCCCTGTTTTTCCCCTAAAATGTGGCTTATTTTCACAGAAATCCCTGTTTTTCCCCTAAAATATCGCTTATTTTCATAGAAATCCCTGTTTTTCCCCTAAAATATCGCTTATTTTCACAGAAATCCCTGTTTTTCCCATAAAATATCGCTTATTTTCACAGAAATCCCTGTTTTTCCCCTAAAATATCGCTTATTTTCCTAGAAATCCCTGTTTTTCCCCTGAAATATCGCTGATTTTCATAGAAATCCCTGTTTTTCCCCTTAAATATCGCTCATTTTGATAGAAATCCCTGTTTTTCCCCTAAAATATCGCTTCTTTTCACAGAAATCCCTGTTTTTCCCATAAAATATCGCTTATTTTCACAGAAATCCCTGTTTTTCCCCTAAAATATCGCTTATTTTCATAGAAATCCCTGTTTTTCCCATTAAATATCGCTTATTTTCACAGAAATCCCTGTTTTTCCCCTAAAATGTCGCTTATTTTCACAGAAATCCCAATTTTTCCCCTGAAATATCACTTATTTTCACAGAAATCCCTGTTTTTCCCATAAAATATCGCTTATTTTCACAGAAATCCCTGTTTTTCCCCTAAAATATCGCTTATTTTCATAGAAATCCCTGTTTTTCCCCTAAAATATCGCTTATTTTCACAGAAATCCCTGTTTTTCCCCTAAAATGTCGCTTATTTTCACAGAAATCCCTGTTTTTCCCCTAAAATATCGCTTATTTTCACTGAAATCCCTGTTTTTCCCCCAAAATATCGCTTATTTTCACAGAAATCCCTGTTTTTCCCATTAAATATCGCTTATTTTCACAGAAATCCCTGTTTTTCCCCTAAAATATCGCTCATTTTCCTAGAAATCCCTGTTTTTCCACTAAAATATCGCTTATTTTCACAGAAATCCCTGTTTTTCCCCTAAAATGTGGCTTATTTTCACAGAAATCCCTGTTTTTCCCATTAAATATCGCTGATTTTCATAGAAATCCCTGTTTTTCCCCTTAAATATCGCTTATTTTCCTAGAAATC